AGATACGAAAGAAGATTGAATGATTTAAAAAAAAAGTATGTACAATGTATACATTTATATGTTTATGTGTGTTGCACTAGTGTGTTTAACTTACAGATTTTGAAGAGTAATATCTATTCTATGACTAGCCCCATCAGTCAATTTAATATGTCTATGCACCACACGAACAGAACCTGTTCCATAATCTACAAGCAAAACTGGATAGCCTTCATGTAGTTCAAGTGCTACAAAATCTAAAAAAAAATGAAAACAATAAATGACATGATTAGCAATTGATGTATAATAATGATAAAGTACCTTGAACAGCAAACAAGCTGTTATGATGCATAGGTCCAGCAAACAGTATCAGACCTTCTTCTTGATAAGGATTAACTTCTAACGAAATGTGAGAAGATTCACAGGCACTCAATGAAGGATATAAAGCCCAACCATCTCCAGTGAAACCGATTGAGATAATTTCACATGCTGGTCCCTCAAAACCTACAAATTATAAGATATTATAAATTAAGTTCAATAACTTCTTAATTGCATAAATAATTCATAGAGTTGAAAAACCAAAATGCAGAGAAAAACATGATTAAAAGTAAAACAAAATAGAAAAGATACATGTTATTTGATCACTTATTTAGTCATACATTTTTTTTCCGCACACATGTATAGAATTTCATACTGTTTGGAACACAATTTTTATAGTTTGTTAATAGCATACTGACCTTCCGGACATTCGCAGAATTATCAAATGGAGTTCCACCATTCTGACAAATTACTAGAGGCGGCGCAGCACAAGTACAATCAGCTCGCACAATCGCAGATACTCCAACAAAGCTCGTTTTATTTGTATAAACTACATAAGGTGTAGTTGACTTTTCTAAGTGATTAGTGCAACTTGATTCACAATTAACTTTCTCTTCCATACATTCATCAATATTTATCATAAATATATTTAAACCTAGTTCTTCTTCAATCTGTTTTAAAATATCAAGCAATTAATTTCGTGTTAACAAATTGTTTTAATTAAATAAATAAACAAACCTCCTTGTATGACATGCCCACTTTGGTATTAATTTTTTCTAGTGCATAATAAGGTGACCCATGAGCAGAAAATCTCACATCTAAAAGACTAGTATTATCATTATGATGCAAAACAGTGAACAAATCAACATTTTCATATGAAGTATTCAATAGTGTAGCTAATTTCAATCTAAATTTATCTTTCAGACTAGGTTCCGCAAACTATAAAAAATTATTCAATGTTAGTAATATGAATTGAAACATATTACGTAATATATCACAATTATTGTATACTTACATGGTTAGATTGAATAAATTGCTCGGCCGTTATGCCCAATAATCGAACTGATCCTGACTTATCTACTGCTTCCTCTGGTATTTCTTTAACTGTGATTGTCACTGATGCGTCTACTGAATGTCTTTCTATCAATAATGATTCCTCTGTCACCTATTTTAAATTCGCCAGAATTTAGACATATTATATATAGTTCAAAGATAATTGTATTTAAGAGAATAACATTTTCAAATAACATGTTGTATGAAATATAGATAGAATTTAAACAATATTTCATATGGAATGTATGCATTTGTACCACTGTGCATTTTGCCTTAAATCAAGCTGCATGAGCTTCCTGCCATGTGTAATTAATCGTCTTAATCACTAGGAAAACAATATTTTAAATCAATTTTGGGTAGAGCATTATGATGTGAGAAACTATTGCAGATCATTCAAATTTATATAATTTTTTTTATTGCACATAGAAAAATAAACAAATACATAATACATACATGGTGTATTTTCTAAAAACGCGCATAAATAATTTAAATTAATTTTTATATTCAAACCACTTTTCGTAGGACTATAATATTTACGTATGTAAATATAAACCAGGTACTCTATTGCCACACAAGGTTTCATCAAAAACTTAGTAAAAAAAATATTTAAGAATCAATTACGAAAAACCGGCCTGGCTATCATTTGTCAAAAACTAATCAACGCGATTCCCAAATGATATCTCAAAATTTTTGACTAAAACATGGTTGAAAATTTTTGCACTTTTCTGCCAATTCCAAAGAAATAACTTAACCGATCATATAAATAAACTAACTAGCGCGAGTACTTATAAAAATTAATTGATTAAATTTTTGAAATAGATTTAGCTGTTTTGGAGAAAACGTCAATGAAAAATCTAATTTAGACTCACATCAAAAAACGCTGCTTATTTTTTCAAACTTTGATGGATTTTTTAATTTAAACGACTTTATAAGACTGTAATATTTCAGTATGTCCTACAGAACTATGATATCTATCAAAGACTGAATTCTACAATTAAATAGAACTCTGCTTGTTTTTGTAGTAATAAGAAGTAGTATTTTAAAAGTTGATAAAGCTCTCTCACTTAACAAGGAATAAAACTTGAAACGGTTCATAAAGTTATTTCCATAGTTAATACTCAGTTAAAAGTATTTATTATATATTCAAAAAAAGAACATAATATCATCAAATTACCTTGAAATTGAGTCTATATATCCCATCCTGAGTACCCTGCCTCATAGTTATCATACCAGTATCACTGTCTAAAATGAACTTAGGGTCAACAAGACCATCCAACCATTCAAATCGTTTATCGGGCAAGTCCCAATCATCAGGGTCATTCACATATACTCTGCCGATGTCCGTATTTGGAGATTCACCCTATTAATAAATAAATCGTTTAAATCAAAATCAAATAGAACATTTAAAAAAATCATTTCTATACCTTATAATTATAAACAAATATTGAGCTTTCTCCTGGTTGCATTTTGTTATCATTGACATCGCCAATTACAACATGGAGTATGCTTACACCAGTCATAGTTGGTGTACCATTATCAGTTATAGATATGTCTATGAAGTAATCTTTTATTTCCTCCCTGTCAAAAGTCACTAGTGGGTATAGATATTTACCTTCTGAAACAAAATAATGAGCATCAAGAAATAAATATATATCAATTAGTTCACTACAATTCCATTTTTTTGTACTACACTTGAAGAGCATAAGGAATTTTAAAATTCTCTTCCAAAACTATTGCATAAAACAAATATTTCATTTCCAAAAATGTGCTACCCTCTAATTTTATATACAAAAATCAGATCCCGATTAAATCACTCCATAAAATGTACAGATTAGAATTTAAATTAAGATATTAAATATGATGTTAATGTACCTCTTATTTCAAATTTCATTTTCACATCATCAGAAGCCCTAAAATCAAGATCAAATTGAAAGGGTGGTCCATTTATATCTGAATCATTGTCTTTAGCAGTCAACAACACAATTGGACGATTTGGGGGTTCATTTTCATACCAAACGACTGGTTGAATCTAAAATGATAAATTTTTAATTTTATATTGTTATTATATAAAATAGCTTCCAAATAAATCATTATATCTTACGTTACTAAGGTAGGGAGCATTGTCATTTATGTCTTCTAATTCAATAATAACTTCGGTAGAATTACTGACACCTCCTGGTCCCCCATTTTCATCTACAGCAGAAACAATTACTTGCCATCGTGGAAAACCGTTTGGCGGATCTCTATCCAATGGCTAGAGATTTAACATAGTAATAATTAATAATATAACAAAATTTTAATAATCAATATTTTGTTAATACAAACCTTTATAAGTCTTAAACAGCCACTTTCATCAATAGATAGTAATTTTCTTTGTTCCTCTTTAACTATAGAATATACTATTCCTTGAGGGGCATTTCTGTTTGGTATATCTGGATCATAAGCTTCCACCTATTACAGAACAATGAAATTATACATTAAAAAATCGGTGTTTGTTAATATACTGAACAATTATTACTTACATAGGCAATACAACCCTCAGGCAATGTTTCTTCCAAAATGGAAACAGTAATATTCTGTTTAGTAAACTGCGGTGGATTGTCATTGACATTTTCAATTTTGATTTCAACTTTGGCTCTAGCTTCATAAATACCATCAAATGCTCTCACATTCAATGTGTATTCTGTTATATTTTCATAGTCAAGCTTATTTTTTATTCGAATTTTACCAGTTGTTTTCTCAATTGAAAACGCATCATATGTGTTACCACCAGTTATGGAATATTCAATAATAGATGCTGTAAATCGACATACATTCAATTATGAACATGTTATATGAAATGTAATAAAAAATTGATAAATTAATTTCACCTGTATCTTGATCTTTAGCTTCAATTTCAGTAACTAGGGCATTAACATTGGCATCTTCTGAAATGGCATCAGCGACAAATACTTCTTTTGTAAAATAAGGTGGATTATCATTTTTATCAGAAATTTCTATTCTAAACGTTTGTTCACCTACGGATCATAAGAATAATATTGATAAATTGAAAAAGTGCAAATTCATTTTCATATAGAATTTTCATGAAATCGCCAGACATACCAAAATGATATCTGTCGCCACCAGGTAGAAGTGCTGAAGGAGAATTGTCGTTCGCCCGAATTTTAACGTTATAAGCTTCTTTATCTTCCCGATCAAATTCTCGTAGAGTTGTAATGTTTCCTGTATTTCTATCGATAGTGAATAAGTCCTGATGATCTTCCAACGTGTATGTTACAATATTATGCGCACTTGTTGCGTCTCGATCTATAGCTTTTACCTAAAATTGAAAGAAATGATTTAAAATCAAATTATGTAAATGAAGAAAAAATCTTACAGACAAAAATGATGTTCAAAAAATTCATCTTGATTGAATATATCAGGAGTATGTATCATTACGGATTATAAAACTAGTCGAGTTATTGATTTATATTATACCTCTGTACTATTAATAGATGTTTAAATTTGAACTTTAAGAAGAGTAATATAATGAGTATTTTGATAAAGTAAATTATTTATAAAATGAATAAAATCATATGTAAGTAAATTCCAATTAGAATTAAATTCTACTTCCTGACCTAGGTTCGTCCAAACACACATGACGCATGATTTCTATTGTGACGAATAATAAAATAACGATCATTTTTAAAAACAGCTTACTGAGCCTTATTTTGGGCGCAACCAGCATATATCGGCACTCCGTGAAAATTTTTAAGACCGATCGGAGTAGATATAATTTTAGGATAAATGAAATATAAAAAAAATACATAAACAAAATTTAGATTATTTATAACATGAATAAAGCAAAAAGAACCTAATGCATAGTGGCACTAGAGAGGAATTCAAAGATTAGGTCGGCAGTCAACCTGCTAAATGAAACCATATTTAAATTGAACCTAGAATCTAAAATTTTAAACATACTGCATATTATATATGTTATTTATTTTTCGATATAATTGTGTTAAATATTTTGAATACAGGTAACCTCCGCATAATTCAGTACTTCTATAACACGAATTCGCTCTAACACGGTTAAAGAATTGAGACCATTTCGCATAACGCGGTTTAGGAAAGTTTTAATAAAATAAGAAATATAGTAAAACCTTTGAAAAGCAAACTTTATTTAATTAAACTACTAAAATTGGTAAAATCGCCGTACAATAGCTCAATAAATGTGATAAAACGAGTGCAAAAGATAATTAATTTGATATTATTAGAGCGCGTACGTTCTATCGAAAAAAAATTCTAGGATTATCCGAACAATATATTAAATAATTCTTATGCAATTCTCATTAAACCTTTTTTGCTAAGAGCAAGTAATCGCAAATAAAATTTTTTTGAAAAAAATAATGCACGGATCTGAAGATAGTATAGAAAACTGTTCAGAGGATGAGGAGATCTTGCAAAAAAAGGATCATGTTGGATTGCCCTTATTGTTAAAATTATGACGATAAAAGTCATATAATTCAAGTAATGTATATTTATAAAATGAATAAATGTAACAATATTTATTATAAAATCATGATATGTAGCATGTTTTTTTGAATTCTCGGAACGTAATCCCTCTTTTTGTACTAGTTCTTTGTCCCTTATAACAAGGATTCGCATATCACGCTAGTTTTCTGGAACGTAACTACCGTATTGTACGGGGGTTACCTGTAGTTTAAACCAAAAGCTACGGATTACAAATACATTCAATTTTAATATCTACAAATAAAAAAAAGTTTCGCAATATCGATCGATCATCACTCAAGTTTATTTTCCGTACCTGCATCACTGGGCTCCCTGGAGGTTCGTTCTCGGATACAGATCCAGCAACGACTTCCGTGAAATATGGAATGTTATCGTTCACATCTGTCACATGAACCTGAATTTGTGTCTCGGCTGCTAAATTATGTGCATTTTGTGCACGTACAGTCAAAGTGTATTCGGCTATAGATTCATAATCCAGTGGCTTAGCCAATATAATATGAGCTTTGTTCCCAGCCGATTCCAATCGAAAATTGTTAAGTTTATTCGTTTGTTCTGTACGACCAGTCACCAATTCGAAAAGTAGATCCGGTTCTAATATGTTCGACCTAAATTTAAAAACATTGAAATAATTTGAAATTAATTTCAAGCTATTTAAGTATCTTTATGCTATTTTTAAATATATTTTAATACAATAATCTGAAACTAATGAAAAGATAAAATTTAATCATCTTATGCCAATAATTATATATTATATGCAATAACAATTACTTTATAATGAAGAGTTTCCGCGTTGCATCAGATTTGCTTTAATTAAGTGCCATTAAGTTTCTATATGTCGAGAATATTACTGAAATCTTTACATCTTCTGTAGGTAAAAGTGTATTTATAAACAAATGTGCAAGAGCTACAAGAAACCTTAACAAGTGAAACTAACTTAATTTTGTTTAACATTGCGTATTGTTTTGCAAATCTTTATCTCCTATTAGAAAAAATTATTTATAATTAATTTCAGAAACATATTCTGTTAAAAGAAATGCAAAAATGTTTAAAACAACTTCTTTTATTTCAAAATGTTTTATATAATTTATAATTATTTATTAATGTTACATTAAGTGCAAAGAGAAGTGGTTAATATCAATTGAGATATAAAATATACTTTATATACCCGCGTAAGAGTTAAAGAACCGTAGTTATATTAATGTACCACAGATTTTTTTTTATCTAATAAAGTTCTTACTACTGGAACTAATTGAATTAAATTGATAGCTATTGGGACGCTTAGAAATTTATTCGGCGGCCAAAGAGATTCGAGCCCGCATTTAAAGCTCGTTTAAAACTAATCCTACTTAGTACAATTGTACAGTACAATACCAGCACATTTTTGTTCAACTTTTGTATGATTGATCAATTATTTTTAAAATATCTTTGATATACAATGGAAACGTACTAAGAATTAGTTATAAATGGTTTTGTTTAGGACAACATTTTATATTTATTATTTCAACTTATTTTAATAACAAAGTTACTAAAGTTAGGAAAGCAAACTGATTTTTTAAGTAAAGTTTTAAATTATGCAAAGAATTGTTATAAAAAACATTTATTAATATCGACATAATCTACATACGTATGAAATAAATCATAAGTTACACTTACACTGCTTGGATGGTGATTATAGGATCTGCAAAATTTTTGAAATCTTCTGGCATGCTTACTGGTTCATATGGACTTCCAATAAAACTAGGCGATTTCTTATTAGACTCGACTACTTGAATCTCAAGCTCTATTTGATTCGATAGTGGTGTTTCGCCCTGATCCTCAGCTTTAGCCATAAGACGAAATTTATATCCAGGACTTTTCTAAAATTTAAGGAACCCATTCTTTCAATAAGCATTTTCATGGCATGGTTTGCATTACATAGAAAATACTTTAACTTACATCGATTGGTTTTTGCAGATATATAACACCGGTACTTTTATCTATTCTAAAATAACTATCGTCCAGAGATCCTGATTTAAGCGTGTAATGGACAACGCTATTATTTCCGTTGTCTATATCCGTTGCTGATATTCTCATTACTTCATGATCTACCTTCAAATCTTGCGGTACTGATTCCAAATATTGCTGAAGTTAAAATGTAAAAATAAGTTGAATATAAATAGAAAAAAATATAAATATTATTGAATATTTTAGTACAATAAGTTCATATAAATGATTTACAATGGCACGCTTATGGATCAATTCATTCTGTATAATAAAAAAATATTTAAACACTGATTCATTGTTTCTGTAAACAATATAAAACAAAATTCATTTCAAATATACATATATATTGTATTGTATATAATAGTGAAGAGAAATCTTTCAAATCCTTAATTCACGTGATGCGTATTTAATAATATGAACTTTAAAATCATGTGGCAAATTACAAAACAGCTAACTACAATTATCCGAAATCTGAAATGTGAACTGACGATCATAATATTATAGTTAGATACAAAACAGGTTGATAGTTCTTCAAAATTAAATTATATACAAAAGGATATTTATTTTGTTTTTGTCTAATATAAAAGCGTTCTCAAGCGGGTTATATAGTTTATTTAGATTATAAACTATCTTGGGTTTCGTGTTATGGTTTATAATTATGTTATTTATGTTATCCATAAATTGTTGACAAAAGAAGTAACAAGCTTGAGATATTGTATTTCTAAATAGACATAGGTACGACATAGTATACGAATAAATGATCATTTTTGTTATTGCAACTTATTGACGCAATTTATATGCAATCACCTTTTCTTGCTATTAATAGAGAACCTTTAGGATATAGATTTAAAAAATATATGCATAGCTCTTAATTTAGTTATTTATTGGTTTTAATTTAGATCTTTCGAGAAGGTCAAACTGAAATTTTGCTTTGCTCTGAAATTATTCTGGCGGCGGTGTATCCAGTTGTGTGAACATTTACACTAGAGATTCCTGATTTAGTAACAATGATTTGGTATAAAAAACACAAGGGTTAAAGATTTAAAGAATTGTTTTTAAAAAAAATGATAATATTATGATAAGAGTCATGTACTAACAGAGCAGAATTTCGTTTATTAACGCAAACTGGTTTAAAAAGATGAATACAGATTCAGCAAATTTTCTGAGATCACCATTCTATTCCTTATATAAAATAATAGGATTTTTGGTATTGAAAGTATGATTTAAACTAATGGCATGTTCGAAAAACATTATCTGAAAGATGAATATTTTTAGCAAATAGCAAATTTTCTGAGGTCACCATTTTTTTCCTTACGTAAAATAATAGGATTTTTGGTATTGAAAGTATGATTTAAACTAATGGCATGTTCAGAAAACATTGTCTTATACTGATTTGGATTTTTAGAATTACAAATGTGTTGGTTCATTCTCTTAGATATATTGCGAAGTTTCGCCAATATATTGAATATATAATGAAAAGTATGGAAGCCTCTGAAAATATTTCTATTTATTCGTTTTCTTCTATTCCGACGATTGGCTGAAAATCAATATCAAATCAATATGTCTCAACGTCAAGCAAAAAAATCTAATTATATATATATATATATATATATATATATCTTCTATATATATAAAAATAAGTCGGGTTTTCCTTCCTGACGAAATAACTCCAGAACGCACGAACCGATTTCGACAATTTTGCATTCGTTGGAAAGGTTTATAGCTAAGAAAATTAGTGGTACATGGCATCGTGCCCTAATGCAAATTGCTGGAACTTCACGTACGAAAAATTCGAGTAATAAAAATAATCAATAATTGTTTTATTGCAAATAGATTATCTTCTATATATATAAAAATAAATCGGGTTTTCCTTCCTGACGAAATAACTCCAGAACGCACGAACCGATTTCGACAATTCGTTGGAAAGGTCTCGGGCTCCGCAAGGTTTATAGCTAAGAAAATTAGTGGTGCATGGCATCGTGCCCTAATGCAAATTGCTGGAATTTCACGCACAGTAATTAAAATTTCGAGTAATGACATTAGTGAGAATTATCAGAATTATGCTTGGTGAAGTCAACTAGCAATTCTTGCCGCAAAGAATAATGATGTACACGCACTGAATTTCACCATTCAATCAAAAATTGCTGGCAATTTGGTGACATACCAATAATTCCGACTGGTTTTTCGTTTGACTTCAAACAATTGCAATTTCCAGTTCGCCTTGCGTTTGCAATAACAAGTCGCAAGGCCAATCGCTTAGTGTTTGTGGGATAAATTTCAAATAGATTATTTAGAAAATCATTGTTTTTCACATGGGCAGTTATACGTTCCCTGTTCACGGGTTGGAAAACCATCCGCTTGGTTTGTGTTAACGTCAGACCAAAAAACAAAAAATGTGGTTTACCAAAGAGCACTTCAATGAAACGGATATTTGGCGGATTCACTTTCATTTACTTAGAGAAGTTCTAAAAAAACTAAACAACACTTAATTTTTGTAATCGAAATAAATTCATTGTTGTGCAAAATCAAATTTTTCCTTTTCAAATATAAAACAAACAAAAAATTTCTTTATCTTTCTCACGAAACCATCTGGTGGCGAAACGGAGTTCGTCGGGTTTGCTAGTATATATATATATATATATATATATATATATATATATATTTAAAGAAGAGTCAAATTGGGACTCAAAACGTTTGAATCTATTAAATTTATTTTAAGAAACATATTTTAGTTTTCGTTCTATTTTATTATATGGATAGTTGCTTGTTAAGAAGTATTTCGTTTAATCAATATATTTATCACCATCTGAAAAATTATATATGTGTGTATGTTGCTCGTACGTCAGAATTAAAACGAATGAGTAAGTTCGCAAGAAGTGAATGTAATATCGTAGTGAGTAACTAGCGCAGATCAAGAAATAATAATATAAGCCACTTACGACTTTATCAAAGACAGGCGAGTTGTCGTTGATGTCTTCTATGTTGATGCGAATGACACACACGTCATCCAGGGGCGGCTTTCCGTTGTCGGTTGCGCGAACCGTCACATAAATCTCCTTCTCGCGGGCAGGCTCGTCTCGGTCGAATGACTGAAAATATGAGTTTGATTGAAATTAATAAAGGAATATAAAGATCTGGTATAATCAATCAATCTTTTACAAATACTTGATCAGGAATAAAAATATTACATACGATTCTGAAGCGAAAAGTAAACTGCTTTGAACCCATTTTGCGTAGTGTCATCTAAGCTTAAAGTAGGTACAAATCTCGGAATTCGAGATACCCAGCTGTAAGTCTGTAAATACTTGTATATTTACACCCTAAAGTTGTCTCAAAACCTATAAATGGTAGGGTGTCAATACCATATGTAGTTTTTGAGACAACTTCAGTGTGTCAATATACAGTATTTACAGATTTACAGCTGGGTATCTCGAATTCCGAGGTGAACTTAATATAATGACTGAACTACTATGTAAGGAGGCGTCCAATAATCAGGTGAGCGAGTTTTTAGGGATTTTTACACTCCCCCCTCCTCCTGGCGATACATGGTGATATTCAAATTTACCCCCCCTCCCCCACCAATCATCACGTGTATTTTTAGTTACGTGAAAAATCTGTATAATTGTTCAATTTTTTTTGAAAATTGTTTGAACTTTCTTAAAAAAATTAGTTAAAAAATAAATACACGTGATATCTTACTATACCCCTCCCTCCCCCACGTGATATTTCGTGATTTTTTGTCGACCCCCCCTCCCCCTAAAAACCTCATGTGATTAATAGACGCCCCCTAAGTACTGCAAATAATACAAAATGATAAAATCTTAAATAAGCACAGTGTAAACTAGGAAAATTTATTGTTATAAAATGTAAATAATAAGCATAATATAGCAAGGAGTTGTTTTGTTTTAAGGGTAATCTAGTATATCAGTAGAAGCATGAATTTGATGCATTTTTTTTAAATTTTAAAAAAGTCAAACATTTTTATATTTTGTTTGCAAGTTATTGATTCATATTGATTCAAAACTAAAAATAGTTTAAATTCTTGTTTAATAAAAATGAAGTTTGGATTCTAGAAGGTGATGAAGTGAGGGCTTCCAGAAAATTGGCATCTATACATACCCACGATTTTGGCCCTCCAAATAATCCGCAGGAAAAAATTTATGTATATATAGTAATAATGTCGCAATCGCATGAACTACGGACTGAGTTAAAATACTTTTTTTTCACAAAATATCGACTTTCTGAAATAAAAATTTTTCTCTAATATTCTCAAATTTTTTTAACAATAGTAAAAATCGGAATTTGGGTATGAGCGTAGTTCATACTGAAGAGAAGTCGATAAAGAAAATTTAAGTAAATTTGTAAAATTTGAGAAATCTGTGTATCATATCGAAATAGACAGTTTTAAAAAAATACGTTTAAGGATTTGAGGTGGAAAGAAACACAGAACGATTATCGTGGTCAAATAAATATACCTCCAAAAATAATTTAAATTTGAATTTGAAAAATCCTCTTGCACATATATTCTTGAATAGTTAAACTTTGAATATATATATATATATATATATATATATATATATATATATATATATATAAGTAAAGATTTTTTTAAATTTCGAGACCAGAATACCCCCTTCTGAAAAATCGTTTTTTTTCTATTTCATATTTTCAAAGCTTAACTATCTAAGAATATGGGTACGAGAAGGTTTTTGAAAATTTGAATTATTTTCGGAAATATGGCATTTTACTGACTCGGTCTCCATACTGGTTTGGCTTCACGCAAAATTTTAAATGCATTTTTCTCAGAACAGACTTTTTCAGTACTGTTGACACGATTTCTCGAGTTTTAATCGATCGATTCACTTGAAATGTTCTGAGAGAGTCTTGTTTATAGACCTATCTATAGCCCGAACTAGGATTACCTCCAAATTCTATTTTTTACTATTTTTAAATTCGAGAAACTCAAAAAACAGTAAAAAAACACTTTTTTCAAACAGTCGCCAATTTGTAAAAAATTTTTTTTTTGCTCATAGCTAGTTCGGACGATTGCGACATCATTGTAGATTAATAATCTTTTTATTTTTTGCATTTTCGATGGCTAGGAGGGCTGAAATCATGTCAAGACTGAGGTGCCAATTTTATGAAACCACCCACTTCATCAGCTGCCAGTTTTTACAATTTTCAACTTTTTTATTTTTTAATTTTTGTTTTGTATTTTAATAATATTAATAAACAAGTGGTAAAAAAGTGGATAGTAAAAACATTCATTGCTTTCATTTACGACACTTTAAAAATGACCTAAAATTCATCGATCTACACTAGAATACCCCCTTAAGGTGGACTTTATATAACATTAACAGCGCCACCTTTGATGAGAATCTTATAACTAACTTATTAATAAGTTTACTCTTCTATTATCTATGAATAAGTTATTGTAATAACTCAAGCGAATACATTTTCAAAAAGTGACTCACATGTCGTGTCGTGATATTGCCAGTTTGCGGGTCAATGTGAAACTTGAGACGCTCGCCAGGGGCCGCCACAAATGCATACTCAACGGAACCCCCGGCGTCGGGGGGATCCTTGTCCACGGCATGAACGGTCAATACTGGAGTCCCATATTCTTGTTCTTCTTTTACACTCGCGTGATATTGGCCGCATCGTGTAAATACCGGTTTTCTATTATCACGAACCACCAGTTTGCTACTATCGCTCTGCAAAATTAAACATTATTAATAATTATCTTTAAGCTTTAATATTGGATAATAAATACGAGTGGAAAAGGTTAATACAAATTAAAGGTTGAGTAGGTATATCATTTTATTTTCATAATCATAAAAACATTAGTCGAAGTTTTGCCATTAGCAAGCTTAAAAAATATTTTGACGCCAAACTGATAGTTTGGAAAACAGTATTTTGTACTATGTAAAAGAAAATTGAAGCGACGACACTGTCATCGAATTACTTTAATTATCTATAGTAAGTAATAATAATAATAATAAATAAATATATTTCAGTAGATATATATGTGTACATAGCATTTCTCATTTTGGATTTTTACCCGTAGGTATTTCATCCTTCATATTTGTTCTATCAATACAATAATAAGTATTTCAGATATACAAGTTGTGACATAATTCTGTGACAAAAAAGAGGAAAGAAAATTTATTCCCCAAAAAAAATCACTTAGCACTATTTATAATAACACATAATAACTCAAAAAGGAGAAAAACAAAAAAAGATTTATTCACTTTGAGGGAGAATATTTGCGTCGAGCCAAGTTTCAATTGCCGCTATGGGTCGATCAGTATATATTTTGGCATGGCGTGATTGCCATACCAAATATCATCTCTTGTGTATTGGCCGAGGCCCGCGATGTTCATATTAGGATGATCCCCACATTTTAGATAAAAATTCTCAGTGAGCTTTTTTATGTAGTCGAGTATTGTCGGTACGTCAGTCTGTTTGTGTATGTATTTTGAAGAGTAGTAATGTCTAGTCAGTGGGTCCCTTATTTTGTTGAGTACAAGTCGTAGTGTCTTATTTTGTAATGTCTGTAGTTTCCGTAAGTTAGTCTTAGTCGTCGCGTTCCATGCCGGAGCGCCGTATGTCAGTATCGGTCTTATCAGTGTCAAGTAAAGTGTTCGCTTGTTCTTCACGCTTAGCGGGCCGTTGTGGTTCAAGAGAGGTCTCAGTAGATTTAACATCCCGTAAGCCTGTCCAATTTTCGTATTAATATGTTTTGTGAAGCTGAGTCTATGGTCCAGGGTCACACCAAGATATTTGACATCTTTGGACCACTCAACTTCACAGTTTAATACTTTAATTTTGTCTAAGTCAGTCAGTCTAGTCATGGCATTTCGGCTCTTAGTAAATAAAATTGCCTCCGTCTTTTGCGGATTTATCTTGATCTGCCATTTGTCAGTATATTTCGTCAGCTTGTCTATGTGTGTCTGTATCTTTGTAGTCAGTAGCGTCGGTGATCGTGATGATTTGTATATGGCAGTGTCGTCAGCAAACGTCAGTAAGGTGGTGTCGGCGTCAGTGGGTATGTCGTGAATGTAGACGTTAAACAGTGACGGTCCCAGGATCGAGCCCTGCGGTACTCCCGCCGTCACTTGTTTAACCGTCGAAAGTCCGTTGTCTACTTGTACGGTAAAGTTACGGTCTGAGAGGTATGAGTGTAATGTTCTTGTAATGTATGGTGGAAAATTCAGTTGTATGAGTTTATGTATAAGTCCGTCCATCCAGATGGTGTCAAACGCCTTCTCGAAATCAAGCAACACCAATCCGGTATGGTTTCGTCTGTTAAAATTGAGAACAGTATTTTCTATGAGTTTTGTCAGTGGTGTAGTGTGGAGTGTCGTTCTTTGAAGCCGTATTGTGTGTCAGGTATGATTTTGTTGTGTCTTATGTGTTTGTTAAGTCTTTTGAGTAGTACCTTTTCGGCTACCTTACTCATTGTGTTGAGGAGGCTGATCGGTCTGTAGTTCTGTGGTATGTCTGGCTGTTTCCTTGGCTTCACTATTGGAAATATGGTGGAGGTTTTCCAAGAAGCGGGAAAGCAGCCTTTTGTCATTATTCTATTTATTATCCGGGTAAGTAAAATGTAGGCGTTTGTCGGCAGTTGTTTAAGTATTATGTTTTGTAGTCCGTCCGGTCCCGGTGCTTTTCTGTTCGGTAATTTTTTAACTATTGTCTTTATTTCAGAAACTGTGGCAGGGTCTATTCGTAAGTCTTTGTCCCTGTGGAGGTCAGTGAAGTTTTGAATTGTCTCGTGTACGTCTTGTTTCAGGTCTGCGTTTGACATATTGGCATTTTTTTTTTATGTATGTTTTCAAAGTTTTTTGCCAATATTTCCGCCTTGTCTGCTGGTGTCGTTGCGTAATTGTTGTCAGTTAATTTGAGTGGAGGTATGGATGTTGGTTTTTGCGTCAGTCTTTTTGCTGTCTGCCAAATTTTGTGTGGGTCAGTATTTATGTTCTCGAGTCTTTTGGTCCAAGTGTTGTTTCGGTGATCACGTATTTCATTGGAAATAATTTTTGTCAGTCTGTTCACATGTTCCTTGAGTAGTCTGTCACCGGTACGTTGCCACAGTTTCTTTATATGATTTTTAAGTTGTATTCTCAATAAAATGTGTTCTGGCAAGTCGTTGGCTGGTGTTGTTCTTGAGTCTAGTGTCGGTATAGTCTGTTGTACGGCGTCTGTGATTGTCAGTGTAAGGTGTGTTACAGCCTCCTCAATGTCAGTGTTGGTATCGATTGGCATAGTGTGTCGTGTGTTGTCTGTGATGATGTCTCTGAAAATTGGCCAGTTGGCTCTGGTGTAATCTAAAAATTTGCGTGTGGGGGTCTGGTCGACGTCTAGTCTGTCTGAAATGGTCATGAAAACTGGATTATGGTCAGAGTTGAAAAGTGTTCTTGTTATGGGTTCGGATGTTACGTGTAGATTTTTTGTCAATGCCAAATCGATCGTACTGTGATGGTGCGTCTGTACGGTGGCGTATCTGGTCGGCGTGTCAGGAAAGTGTAGTTGTGCGTCTGTGGTGTTGTATTCGGTCAGGTATTCGTAAAGTCTGTTTCCGTTTGCGTTGTTGAAGTTACAGTTCCAAGTTGTGTGTTGTGCGTTAAAGTCTCCTGCCATAAGAACAAATCTATTCGAGTCCAGTAGTCTTTGTAAGTCCGTATGTTCTAGTCTGCTTGCCGGGATGTAAATCGATATTATGGTTACTTTTTGACCTCTCTTGTATACATTAATAGCTGTTATTTCAGAACCGCCCGCTGTCAGGTTTGGCACTTGCTCGTGTCTGATGTTAGACTTAATCAAAATCGCAGTGCCGCCCCATCCGCGTGCGTCGGTCTGTCTGTCGTTTCTGTAAACTTTGTAATTGTTGATATAGAGTCTGTCCGTAGGTTTTAGGTGTGTCTCGTTAATCAGTACTATGTCCAGATCGTATTTTGTTATCGTCTGTCTCAGTTCGTCAACGTTGTTTTTAAGTCCATTTGAATTGAAATGCATTATTTGTAAGTCTTGCGATTGGTTTATGGTGATGAAGTAAGAAAGTTCAAAATTGTTGTGTATTTGTCGTTATAAGTCATGTTTGTGTTAAGTGTTTTGTCAGTTTGTATAGCTCACTGAAAATTTGCTTTACCTGGGGATCCGCAAATAGCTTCCTGATCTCGCCCATAGCAGTAAAGAGTCCTTCCGGAGTGTTGAGGTCTGGATCGGGTTGGCTGCAGGCAGGCCGTGTTGGTGGTTGCGATAGTGCAGGCCGGATCTGTGATGATGCAGGCTGGACCATTGTTCGTGAGGACTGGACCATTGATCTGTATGGTGACGATGGGATAGGGAGTTGAGGATATTCAGGTCGGACGTTAGGACCATTGTTGGTGGAGTTTACAGCTGACGAGAAGCTCCTCGTCAGTGGCACTGGTGTTGGTGCTGGCCTATACGCTTGTCTTCTCCTGAGAGCGTCGCTTTCCTTCTTTTCTTTGTAATTAATAAGAGCGCTGCATTTGGAATAATTTGCCGGGTGTTCGCTTTTGCAATTGACACACATCGGTGCCTCATGTGGTAGTTTTTGGCACGCTCCTGGTGCGTGCACATTGAGGCACTTTATACACCTGTACTTTAGGTCACAGGTGTACGATGTGTGACCAAAGTTCAAACATTTGTGGCACTGCAGCGCTCTATTCTGCGGCCTATAGGCCTCCCAGGAGAAGATATGTCCCCCAATATTTGTAATTCGTTTTAGCTCCGACATATTCTGGTCTTTATCGAGGAGAACAATGTATATAGGTAATTTGTGTTGACCACCATCTGAGGTTTTCCTCTTTATCTGCACTACTTGCCTGGCTTTAATCCCTTTTGACAGGAGATCTTCATGAACCTCCGCCTCTGTAATTGATGGATGTAGACCGGTTATGGTTATTTTTTTCGGCATTTCCTCTTTGATTGTGTAGGTATAAAATTGATAATTGCAGTCCCTTAACATGTCTTTGATTTTTTCGTGTTCTATAGCGGTGTCAGTGAAAATTTTGTGTAGGTTATTATGGAGGTATTGATATTTAAAATTAATTTTAGATGTTTCTCTTAGATATTTAATTGCTTTTAAATCTATTTGACCTTTTATGATAATCGGTGGGATTTTTGCCTCTTTCGTGGTGGTGTTTTTGGGTGTCACGGTTTGGACGCCTGAGGTAGTTGGTTCCGACCTAGTAATGGTTTTCTCAGGCTCCTTGTTCTTTTTCGCCCTCTTTCGGCGTGTTACTTTCCTGTAGTCCTCACTCTCCCTATCAGTATCCATATCTGTACGGTCCGTGAGCGCATCATATTTATTTTTTAGTGCAGTACTTGTCTGCACGTCCATCTTCTGATTTATGTTCGACATCTTGAATTTTTTCCCAGGCCCCTGCCCGGGAATTATTCTGTTTCCTGAAGAGTTTTGCGCACTGATTTTAAAATTTATTAAAAATGATATAAAAAGACTTCACAATTTTGAAAAAGAAAAAGCACTTGCTAATGGGTGCTTACTTCCTCCCCATTAGCAACCCCAATCCGGGGTTTGGGAAGAAAAGTATGCAAAAGGCACGTTCACCTTTAAAATTTTGACAGATATAATAATATATATCCAACTTGTAAGTATTAAGCCCGGTGCCTTTAAAAAGGCAAGATTTAGAATCAATTCCGGACTTAATACTTATTTCAAAAAAAC